TCTTCGCCTATCCCTCGCTCATATCTTCTACTACTACTCTTTCGCCATCGGGAACGCCGAGGATATCTTCGATCCTACTTTCTTTTCGCGCTTGATCACCTCTAAACACTCGACATCATGTTGAAGATCTGGTCGATGGTGAGCCAACTCTGAGCTAGAATGTTTGTCGTATAAGACTAATCAAATCTTCGTAGAAATCAGCCCAACAAAAGGCGGACAATGCCGATGGCGTGGGTGGAAAGAAGAAGAAAGTCACGCCTGCCCAGCTGCGAGTGCAGAAAGGTTGGTTCGCGCACTGAACCTCGTTGGCCGCTGAACGGCTTAACTTACCTCGCGAACAGACCTCTCCGAGCTATCCCTTGGCTCGACGATGAAAACAATATTCCCCGACCCCGACGACATTCTCAACTTCATACTCGAAATTACACCTGATGAGGGTATCTACCACGGCGGCCGCTTCACCTTCACATTCACCATGGGCCCAAATTATCCACACGAGCCGCCGAAGGTGCGCTGCCAACAGAAGATATATCACCCTAACATCGACCTTGAGGGCAAGGTCTGCCTAAACATTCTGCGCGAGGACTGGAAGCCCGTACTCAACCTGAATGCTGTCATCGTTGGCCTGCAATTCCTCTTCCTCGAGCCGAACGCCTCGGATCCCCTCAACCAGGAAGCCGCGGACGACCTACGAGCAAGCCGAGATACCTTCCGACGGAACGTGCGCGCGTCTATGGGTGGTGGTTCGATACGAGGCGTTACGTACGACCGTGTACTCTACAGTAGAGCATGAGAGACTCGCGGCACTTTGTTCGGAAAGATTGAACATGTCTTGGTCTAGATAACCTCGTCGGCACCACCTACTTGGCACAATCCACAACCTGATCACAGTGATTCAGTCCTAATGATAGGCTTCTATTATTAGGTTCGGGGGAGACAATGGAGAGGAAAGGAGCTTTGGAGTGGCTTTGCACACGACACATACATAGCAAGGGCGTTTTCGAGGGACTGCATTACTTCGAGGCATGGAGGAAAATATCACCTTGCCGTCCCTGTCTCGTGAATCTGGTAGCAATGCATCTAGACGGTCAGGGAGACGATACATTGCATAGACGGCGACTGGCCGTACGCAATAGAAGTGTACCTAAATGGCACATGAAATGCAACGAAATTCTATACTACTCCTTTGCTTCTTATAATATCCTGATGTTGTTCTGCAAACGATTAACTCCCACAGTTATCGATAGGGTCCATCTAGACATGCCGTGTTGCAGCTCCAAACGTCACCGCCAGTTGAAAAAACGGGCGCCTGCTGCTCGCCTTTCACAACCGCAAGGGATGTAGTCGGATAAGTACCTATACCATGAGAGCGAAACCCGCTATAGACGCAACCCGGCTGTTTTGATGGCGTCAATTGTACCTCTACCACATGCACCCCATGGCCCACCTTAGCAGGCCGGACCGGCGATTCGACCCCACCATTGGTGGTGGGCTGTTAGTTGATTCGACTCACCGCCGAAGTCGCACAGCAAGCTCTTTTTCGAAGTTTGGCAGAAGCTCCAAGACCCTGGAAAAAAATTAAAAAAAAGGTGTAAAAATTCTCTGACTCGCGAGAAGGCCAGGCGCATTTATTAAAACTTAATTATACCCATTGAGTTCCGAAACCTCCTCTTCACCTCCCATCTCCACTCAACCTATCCTTCACGATGGCTTCCAGAGGGTTTTCCAAGGCACTTCGCAGCCAATTGGCCCGTCGAGTGGCCTCCCCCGCGGTGCAGAGACGTTCGTTCGTCGCTGCGTCGAACCTCGTCAGAACCACTGCCAAGGCCCGCCCTGCCCTCGCTGGTGCCGTTCAGCAACAGATCCGTGGAGTCAAGACCATTGACTTTGCTGGAACTCCCGAGGAGGTCTACGGTAGGTTCAATTGGTCGTTAATTAGGCGATATAAGCTTACGCTGGTTTATAGAGCGTGCCGACTGGCCCAAGGAGAAGCTCTTGGTGAGTCTTTGATGCTGGACCTGGAATATTCATACAAAGACAGCAACTAATATTCCCCAAAGGACTACTTCAAGAACGACACCCTCGCCCTCATCGGCTACGGTTCGCAGGGTCACGGTCAGGGTCTTAACCTCCGCGACAACGGCTTGAACGTCATCATCGGTGTCCGAAAAAACGGTCAATCGTGGAAGGATGCCGAGCAGGATGGCTGGGTCCCCGGCAAGAACCTTTTCGAGATGGACGAGGCCATCTCTAAGGGCACCATCATCATGAACCTGCTCAGTGATGCCGCCCAGAGCGAAACGTGGCCCGCCATCAAGCCCCAGCTAACCAAGGGCAAGGTATGCTATTATGAGTCATACATATCACAAGGCAAATATTGACACTTCCCAGACCCTGTACTTCTCGCACGGTTTCTCCCCCGTCTTCAAGGACATCACCAAGGTTGATGTTCCCAAGGACATTGATGTCATTCTTGTTGCGCCCAAGGGCTCTGGCCGAACTGTCCGATCTCTCTTCCGCGAGGGCCGTGGTATCAACTCTTCTTACGCCGTCTACCAGGACGTCACTGGTAAGGCCGAGGAGAAGGCTCAGGCCCTCGGTGTTGCCGTCGGCAGTGGTTACCTCTACAAGACCACCTTTGAGAAGGAGGTGTACTCTGACTTGTACGGTGAGCGTGGTTGCTTGATGGGTGGTATCCACGGTATGTTCTTGGCTCAGTACGAGGTTCTCCGAGAACGTGGCCACTCTCCCAGCGAGGCCTTCAATGAGACCGTCGAGGAGGCTACTCAGAGCTTGTACCCCCTGATTGGTGCCAACGGTATGGACTGGATGTACGAGGCTTGCTCTACTACAGCCCGACGAGGTGCCATTGACTGGACCCCTCGATTCAAGGATGCCTTGAAGCCCGTCTTCAACAAGCTGTACGACTCCGTCAGAGATGGTACCGAGACAAAGCGATCGCTCGAATACAACAGCCAGAAGGACTACCGACAGAAGTTCGAGGCGGAGATGGAAGAGATCCGCAACATGGAGATCTGGAAGGCCGGCAAGGCCGTAAGGTAGGAATCAACACCTCTTGAGACACACGGTCTTTATGTCAACGCTAACTCTGTTCACACAGATCTCTCCGACCCGAGAACCAGAAATAAGTGCATTTGGTGTTTTTTAAAAATTTCAAAATTATCGGGACGGTGAGCTAAACGGCGAAGGCATATATCCCGGGGATTGCAAGAAAACCAAGTCTTTGTACATGTAATCAGGATTCCCCAAAATCGTCTCACGAGGATCGTAGGGTAATGGTCCAAAAGTTGCTCTAGTTGAGTTTTCAATGAAGCTATGAATTCGTTCTAAGTCGTTTACTACATATGAAATGCCCCGTCTTGCGTGCCTTCTCCGTTATCGGACATGATAACAAATCGTAGATTTTTGACTGGTTCGAGTCTAGATCTAGGGCTAGGCTCGACCACCATCATACATAGGTACCACTCTGGGCATTACCTAGTCTACTTGGGAGTGCTCGGGGAAGGATTTGGATTGGGTTATTGTTTACTTGATTGAGAATAAGACCTCACCTATTCTCTTATTCAGTTTCTGTAGTCGCTTCAACTTGACTCAGCTCGGGCTTAATCCTCTGAAAGCACAATGGCGGACCCCTCAACATCGCCGCCCCTAACCCGGGCCTCGGTGGCGGCCGCGCGGGAGCTCATCCGGCCGTTCGTGCACCGGACGCCCGTGCTCACGAGCGCCTCGCTGTCGGCCCTAGCGTCCGAGCCGAACCGGAGCTCCCCGGAGGCGGAAGGGGAAGGGGAGGGGGAGGGGGAGAGCAGAAGAGCGAAGCCTCGGCTCCGGCTCTGGTTCAAGTGCGAGAACTTCCAGAAGGTGGGCGCGTTCAAGGCCCGCGGCGCGTTCCACGCCGTCGAGAGGCTGAAGATGGAGCCTGGGTGGCTGGCGGGCGGGGGCGCCGCGCGGGGCGTTGTTACGCATAGTTCTGGTTAGTTTTTGGGTTTTTCCTTGTTTTTGCTGTGGTTTTGCTTGGTTTTTTTTTGTTTTTGTTTCTTTGGGGTTTTGGGTTTGGGTTTGGGTTTGGGTTTGGACGGAGATGTTGTCTTGAGGTGTGCTGCTGGGGGTGGTGAGCTGAGTGTACCTATGTGAGACGGCGATAAATTATGGCAGAAGGGAAGAGGATAGGCCTCCATTCGACTGGCCAATTTATCGTCGTTCGACGGGTTTCATGAAAGCGAAGGACGAGGAGACACGAGACATACCAGATATGAATTGGCCCCTTATACCGTCCCGTCATGCCATACTGCTCCGGTCAACGACGGCATCTATCTATCAACCATGTTGCGAGCGAGCTTCTTTCTTTGACCCTTTTTACTTCTTTTAGGAATTCTATCCTCTCAGCAAATCAAATCGATGTTCTTTTTAACTAACAAACCCAGGGAACCACGCGCAAGCGCTCTCCCTCGCAGCCCGCGCCAACGGGATACCGGCATACATCGTGATGCCGACCATCTCGGCGCCGCCCAAGATCGCCGCGACGCGGGGCTACGGCGCCAACGTCGTCTTCAGCGGCAGCACGAGCGTCGAGCGCGAGGCCGTCACCATGAGGGTCATCGAGGACACCGGCGCGCGCCTCGTGCCCCCCTACGACCACCCGGACATCGTGCTGGGGCAGGGCACGCTCGGGCTCGAGTTCCAGGAGCAGGTCTCCGCCATGATGACGAAGGCCGAGGAGGAGGATGAGAAGCGGAAGAAGGATGATGTTGCGAGCGGGACTGCGGAGAAGAGGAGGAAGGCGAAGAAGGGGCTCGATGCTATCATCGCCCCTTGCGGTGGCGGCGGGAGTAAGTACCTACCCTATGTACCCGAAGTCCCAGAGTCGTCCTTTCTTTTCGCCATTGCCCAACTCTGCACGGGGGTTTGTCTGAAACGCTCCTGCCGAAAGTTTCTCGGCATCATACCTGTGCATAGTTCGTCTCGGCAGCTGATATCACCAGTGCCCGTTGGCCCAGCCGGTTAGGGCGTCTGACTGTTATCATCCACAGAAAAATCAGAAGATCCCCGGTTCGAACCCGGGACGGGCAGATTTCTTTTTCCTTTCCCTTTCCCCCTTTTCCCTTGTATCATACCCACTTAACAACAAATCGACCTTGCGCCTTTTTATAATGAGCGAAGAATCCTAACCGTCTTTCTCTTCCACAGTGCTCTCCGGCGTAGCCCTCTCCTGCGAAGGCACCGGCATCCGCGTGTTCGGCTCCGAGCCCTCGTTCCAAGGCGCCGACGACGCCAAGCGGGGGTACGAGTCGGGCGTCCGCGTCGAGGCCGTGTCCACCCTGACGATAGCCGACGGCCTGCGCACGCCCGTCGGCAGGGTGCCGTGGTCCATCATCTACGAGCGGCGGCTCGTGAGCGGGTTTTACAGCGTCGGCGAGGACGAGATCAGGCGTGCTCTACGGCTCGCTTACGAGCGCCTCAAGGTCGTTATCGAGCCTAGCTCTGCCGTGCCTCTTGCTGTTGCGCTCTACAATGAGGACTTCAGAGCTATGGTGGAGCGCGAGGCTGGTGAGGATGGTTGGGACTTGGGAATCGTATTTAGCGGGGGAAATATCAATCTAGACGCTTTAGGCAAGCTCTTTACGCTAGATAGCGCAGAGGAAGTGAAGCAATCCTAAAGGACTGCGTTAGTTGGTAACATTTTATATCTCGGTGGGTAGAGCATATATGTATCATTGATATGTCGGGTATATTGTACGTATGCTAAGGACCGCCGATGTGGCATTGTTTGCATGCCAACAGAACTACGCTATGCTACCGACGATGCTTCATCTGCTTCAACAGAAGTATACCCAATGCAATAAAGTAATCCATACAACAATATCTCATTATGTCGTGAGTAAGGGCTCCTACCCTCTTAGCAATCAAATAGCTAACGTAGCTAAGATCATTTACTAAGAGCCTTGTCCATTTGCTCCCTCCATTTCCGACTGTTCTTCCTCAACAGCCAGATGGCTATGTTGCCGCTCAGCCAAGAGAGCAGGCCCACCATTGTCATTAGCCATCCAATGCCCATTGCATCGATAAGGGGCTGGCCCACAATACCACCAGTGCAACTGAAGATGTTCCTCACAAAGTTGTTGAGGGCCACGCCGTTGCTGCTCTTCCGCGGCATGAACTCGGTGAGCATAGTGGTAGCGGCGCTGAAGACAAGCATGCTACCGACACCGAAAAAGAAGTTGGCTACGGACGGGGCGGCCCAGTGTATGCCGTACTGTAGCGTCCAGCCCGACCAAATCAACGCTCCAGGGTAGAGCGTAGCCGATATCCAAGCATTCTCGCGCATACGGTCCTCGGGAAGGTAGATGAGCTTCCCTTTAGCGTCGTACCGCTGAGCTTTCTCTGCTGCCCGCACCATAATCCGGTCAATCCATCGACCGCCTAGCATTGACGCCGCGAAGTATCCCAAAGAGCTGGGTATGTACAACAGCCCTATGATGATGGCCGAGTAGCCGTACGGCGCTTGCGAGAATGCTGACTGGAGCGAGATGTTAAGAACGTACAAGGATCCGAACGTAATCGCCGCGTAAAACACCGTTATTGCCACGGCAGGGAAACGCAAATACATGATGATTTCAAGCGGATCAAGGAAACATCGTTTCAGCCACGCCGCCGCATGCTTGGTGTATATTTGCACAGAGCGTGTGGTTGAGACTCGTGATAGGTCATTCGTATGCGATGCTTCGACTGCGGCCGCGGGTCTGCGCTTTGCAAGAGTCTCTGGTACGCAGAATAGAACAAGCACAAATACTACGGCACCGTACGCCGTGAGGAACCAGACGGTACTCCTCCAACCGAATCCTTCCGTAAGTGCACCACCGATAATCGGGGCCAACAACGGACCCATGAGAGGTCCTAGATAGAAATATCCCATCGCACGACCGCGCTCGCGGGGTTCCCAGACGTCAGCAATGGTTCCAGCTCCGACAGCCTGAACGCTTGCTGCTGCTCCGCCCGACAAAATCCGGAAGACGATCAACATGCTGATATTTACACTGAGGCCGCTCAACAGGGAGAAAACAACGTTTAGGAAGAAGGATGCCAGATAGATATTACGTCGTCCTAAGGTCTCGGAAAAGGAACTCCACCACAGCGGGAATATTGACATTGCTAGCATATACAGGGCTACTGTCAAATTTACCACAGTTGGTGACGCATGAAGATCCTTGGCCATCTCGGGAAGGGCAGCTAGTACGATTCACGTAAGTCCTCTGTTGCTCCTATGTGCAGACAATCATACTACGACATAATAAAGGGTATGTGTTTGCTTACGATAGAAGATGGCCGACCCCATCGGCGCCGCACATGCGGCCAACGCGATGAACGCTGTTATCGTCCACTTGACTTTATTCGGATACTCGTAGGGCCGCTCAACCTCTGGGACCAGTGTCAACTGTGCAAGGAAGCCTCGTCGTTTCAACCGTGGCACTATGGACAGCGGTCTGGAGCGAACAGACGAGGCTTGTGACCTGGTTCGTTCCATTGGCGTAGTGGTAGCAGCTTCTTCATCGACTGGGATACCATTCGGGGTCAGGAGCTGCTCAGGGACAGCGCCTATAGACCCGTCCTCCCCATCCTGGCTTGTGGTGGTAATGGATGCCGTGCCATCCTCATCTTTTCGGCGTTCTCCATTGAAGTCAACAGCTTCTGATGTTTCATCCACTTTTTCTGGCTCAACGGCCATATCCAGGAGTTTCTCTGTTCGAGGGAGTAGTGACACTTAGAGATAAACCTATGCTATGCTGATAGCATAAAACCCGATATCGGTAAGTCGAATATAAATCAGAGTAGCAGAGGTTACAGAGTCGATGAAATACCCAATGGAATAAGGCTCCGTAGCCGCACCGTAGCGGATTCTCGTGTGGACGTGAAAAAATTTGCCAAGGCAATGGAGACCCTTTTAATAATTTAGAGGCTGGAGCATTATGGGAGAGCAAAACGGTGTAAAGACAGAATAGATAATAATAAAAAAAATGTCCAGGGGTGTGAAAAGGGAAGGAGTTAGAGCACCATTCATAGTGGACCTATACGCTTATTGGAAATAAGCTCGTCTTCGTTGAAGCCGTTCGACGACTCACTGGTTTAGCTGGTGTGGGGAAGGACTGCAGAGGCGGAAGCTGCATCTGCGCGCGAAATGCCGAGAAACCCGAGATCGTGAGCGCGGGTCAGTGATTCCATTCGGTTAGTGGTTCCGATGCGCCAGACCTTAGCCGGAAGGAGGAGTGATCCTCCTTGCGTAAATCAGAGTGTTAAGGTTGCGGCATGGCAATCCGCCGGACACCAATGCCATGTATGTTCACATCGCGTATAACTCATCTCACCTGCCCACATCCTGCGTCCACGTCCATGAAACATATCGGCGGGGGAGATCTCTGCAGAATCACATCTGTCGATAAAGGCGCTTTCTGAACAACCTTGTCATACTCCTAACCCCGTAATTATGTGACTTATATTGTGGTTAACACGGCACTGAGGTCTCTGCGACGGAGTAGATTCGGGACGAATTGGTCATCCAGAACGTGAAAGCCGCCCAAGCGGTGACGGTGGTAGCTTGTAGAGAAGTTCATCTGGCGGTCAATCTGGCCAGGAAGCTATCAATCGGACGGCAATCCGAGAGTAAATAGTAAGAAAATTCATCCGCCTGAGGTCTTGTCACATTGTAATGGTTCAGGGACTCTCATCCGTTCCGTTCCGTCATCTGAATGGTTTTCGCCCAATTGGCGTGCTCGTACGGAAGTCGATTGCCGCAGCCCATTGCAACTTGGAAAGCTCACACCTCGATTGTGCAGATCAAGAGCAAATACGTTATCCCAACAAGAGTGGCACGACGTAAACGATGTTTCCAACTCGATGTCGCACAGCAGGATACAAATTTGTTACACGTGGAGAGTGATGTCGACGCGACGTTGGAATCGTCCTTTATTGGATGAGATTTATAGAACCTTGAAAGTTCAGGTCGACGTAGACTGACCTAATCTCAACGGCGCTATGGAGGCTGATGGCCCCACCGTCGCACTGTGGCTAGGTGCCTAGCCTCAGTCAAATTAGTGGCGGCTCAGTGCCCCTCCCAAGAAAATCGACCGCGGGGTTGACCGTCGATAACCGCCGTCGTGTAACTTTGCGCTATTCGACTTCCGATATAGGCGCATGCCACTTTGCTGAATTTGATATATCATATACCTTTGAGAAGCTATGTCCCTGACGAACGCTTCCCCCTCGGAAGCTGCTAGGTCAGCGAAAGAGGCGTCACACGTCCTTGCCACACTGTCAGAATCCGATAGAAATGATGCTTTGACGGCCATCCACGCTGGCCTAACTGCGGCCAAGGACGAGATCCTCGCAGCCAACGCCCGAGATCTCGAACTTGCACGTATAGCAGCAGAGAGTGGCCAACTGAGTCAGAGTCTGGTCTCTAGATTGGACCTCGGGAAGAAAGGAAAATGGGAGGACATGTTAAAAGGGATATTAGACGTTCGAGATCTTGAGGATCCTGGTGAGTCACCAACCGAGTTGAGCCGAGATGAGCACTCAACTAATTATATCAAAGTTGGCAAGATTACTCTAAGGACAAAACTTGATGATGGACTGGAGTTAACGAGAGTCACTTGCCCAATTGGCGTTCTTCTCATCATCTTTGAGGCACGGCCCGAGGTTATCGCCAACATCGCCTCCCTTGCGGTGAAGTCGGGGAATGCCGCTATCCTCAAAGGCGGCAAGGAGTCCACCGAGTCTTTCGTTGCCATATCCAAGGTCATATCGACTGCTCTAGACAAAACGAAGGTCCCTAATAGTGCCATTCAGCTCGTTACCACACGAGACGTCATACCACAATTATTGGGTCTGGATCAATACATTGACCTTGTTATTCCTCGAGGTTCCAATGATTTGGTTCGATATATCAAGTCAACCACCAAGATCCCTGTTCTGGGCCACGCGGATGGTCTATGCTCCATATTCATTGAACAATCCGCGGACCCGAAGATGGCAGCGGACGTGATCGTTGATTCCAAGACCAGCTATCCCCCTGCGTG